GTGATCTGAGCCACTAACCTGGAGACACGGTTTTTAATTTTTTTTTGACAGGCATGGTAACCTCGCATTTGGCAAAAATTACTGCCGGATGACCACGCCTTTTTTCCACGTTTTCTGTTTCCAATTGTGTTTTGTGAATTGGTTTGGCAGATTTGGCTGGTTCAATCGACAAAAAGATGGTAGGGCAACTGTTTTCCATGCTTCTCTCGCACCAATTGACCGCCTTCTTGTATCAGTCGAAGTCGGTTCTTCTGCATGTTTTTTGATAAAGCTAGTGGTTTCCTTCGACTTATGTTGATGAGCAAATTGTTTATGAACCTTGCCGTCGAAACAATGATGATATTTGCAAAATTGTCAAATAAAAAAACAGATAGTTCGACCACTCTTTTAAATCGCTTTCTAGCCGCTCAATTCAAATGAGAAGCTGTGACCTCTTTGAATAGTTGGAAAAACGATGGCTGGCGAGTTGGAAAGTTGCAGCGGATGGCTAGCGAGTTGAAGAGTTGGAAAAAATGATGGTTGGTGGCAGTTTTTTTTTCACGCTACCTCAGTGTGATCTTGGTTTTTACTCGCTTCTCCCATTTTGAATTTTGTTGTTTGAGCCGCTCCTCGTTTTCTTCTTTGCTTGTCTTCGTTGTTCCACAATGTGACTTTTTTCATGAACTTTGCGCTACTTGCAATGATTGCAGATTAACAAAGAGGAAATTTTTTTGTTATTTTTTAGTCCTCTACATTTTCTGTGAACTGAGCCACTAACCTGGCGACACGGTTTTTCACCTTTTTTGGCAGGTATCTTAACCTCGCATTTGGCAAAGTTAACTGCCGGTTGAGCAGGCCTTTTTTCCCACGTTTTCTGCTTCCAACTGTGTTTTGTGAACTGGTTTGGCAAATTTGTCTGGTTCAATCGACAGAAACATGGCATGGCAACTGTTTTCCAGGCTTTTATTGCACCAATTGACCGCCTTCTTGTCTCAGTCGAATTCGGTTCTTCTACACGTTTTTTTTGATAAAACTAAAGGTTTCCTTCGACTTACCATCGGCATATATCTACTTGATGAGCAACTGTTTATGCTCCTCGTCGCTCAAACAATGATCATATTTGCAAAACTGCTACAAAAAACAGATGGCCCGACCTTTTTTCGACATCACTTTCTAGCCGCTCAATTCAAATCAAGACTTGTGACCTCTTCGAAGAGTTGGAAAAACGATGGCTGGTGGATTGGAAAGTTGCAGCGATTGGCTAGTGAGTTGAAGAGTTGGAAAGAACGATGGTTAGTGGCAGTTTTTTCCACGCTACCTCAGAAGACAACCGGTACTTTAACAAGCGCGGTCCGTAAAACTCTCTGATTAAAATAAGTTATGTCAAACCATTTTCTAATTTGACACAATTACTTTTCGAAATTTTGCAAAAAACGCTTTCTCTGGAGAAAAACTGGCCTGAACTGTTGGACATTCTGACACATATTTGGCAAAAAAATGAAAAATTAAATCTGAGAAAATTATTTCTCGCTTTTTTATCTCGCTTTTTTTGTTCAATTTTAACGCTCAAAGATTTGTGAACTTAGAGGATTTGAAGATAGTATTTTTGAATTTCATTTTACACACCTATTTTTTTAAAGTTAACTAGCATGTAACACTCCTCCGGTGCTTAGAATTTTTGAGAACTCATAAAAAAACCGCATTTATTGAAAAAAAAAGGTCCACAACCTTTGAGTGTACTCTCACATTACCCCATAACAGGGTTTGTAATAACAAGGTTTGTAAGTTTTTTCTATGAGTTTTTAAATTCAAATTTTGAAAACTCATTAAATTTTGTTAAATTTTTATATCTAAGTTTTTTGAAAAATTTTGAAATGACATTAAAAACGTCACATCTTGGAAACTAAAAGCATTTGGGCAGTCGCATTTGGACGTTAAATTAGCAACTACTGAGAGAACTCTCTCAGTCGCCAACTACAGGGTTAATGATTTCGAACTTTAAGAAAATTTTTAAATTTAGGTTTCAAAAAAAACAGTACCCTCTCCCTATTACAAGTAACAGGGCTTTAAAGTTCCATTGGAATTTGAAAAAAAAAGTTCAATTTGTCTTTGTTGAAAATTTTTGAAAAGAAAACCACAGAAAACGTCATATCTCGAAAACTAAAAAGATTTTAGTGGTCTTTTGTGGAGGCCAAATTTTCAACCACCCGAGAGTTCCCTGCAGCTTCCATATAAAAGGTCGGGAATTTCAAATTTTGGACAAAAAACTTAAATTAAGTTTTATGATTGTTTCGTGAAATTGGGAACTTAAAGTGAAATTAAGATTTTAAAAAAATCACAACACACGTTATATCTCGTAAACTACAAAAACTTGAACAGTCATAATTGGAAGCGAGATTTGCAACCCCTGATAATATTCTGGCAGTCCCCAAATAGAGTGTTGAGAATTTCAAAACTTGATAAAAATTTTAAATTTAAGATTTCTGAAGGTTTTTTGGAAAATCACAAATAACGTCTTGTCTTGAAAACTGAGAGCACTTAAAGAGTCGCATTTGGGCGCAAGATTTTTCTTGAAACTCCTGAGAGTGCCTTCACAAAACTAAACTACAAGAATAGAAATTTCAAGTCTTTTTTTTTTTAAATCTAATTTTTCTGAAAAATTAAATAGAAAACTTACAAATCATATCTCGAAAACTACAAGAATTTTAGCAGTCATATTTGGAGGCAGGATTTGCAATTCTTGAGAGAACTCCGACATCACCCAACTACAGGGTTCAAAATTTCAAGTTTTTTAAGCTTATTTATAAGTTGAATTCTGAAATTTATCATCGGTGTTAAAAACTGAAACTATCATTTTTCATTCAATTCTCACTTTTTTGTCTCTCCTAACCCATTCTCAACTTAAAAACTATTATTTTTCATCGATATCTGACATTTTTAGTACTCTATTTGGGCAGTGTTTGGTAAACCTTAAAAACTTTTTAACTTTTCAGTCAAGTTGATATTTTTTCCACATCTCATATCTGTACAATTCATTACGTTAAAATCTCATAATTGCTTTCATAACCACTTACGTTTATTAAATCTTTCGTACATTAGCTAAATTACCTCGTACTGAAGTTAAGTACATTGTCGTCTATAGTAGTTTAGTAAATCCATAATCAGCGGTATTTTGGTTTCAAAAACAGTGTTGAGTTTATATGTTTAACTGCATAGCAGGTTTCTTAGTTAACTTTTCTCTTTTAACATAGTGCAGAATAGTACTGCTGGTTTTTTTTTAAAAAAACTTTCATAGTAAAAAAGTTGCAGCAAACAATATTTTTCAAATTTATTGTGTGCTGGTTTCTCGGCTAGTTCTATATTGATAGACAATATCATTGATGGCCGATTTTTTGCAAACTCATAACTATTTTTCAAAGTTGCACGGTTTTACCAAATGACTATCGTGGTAAGCTCATATTTTTATCTGTTTAATTTTTCAGATTTAGCAATCTAGACTGTCTTCTGTGGTTGACTGAAAATTGAATGCAATCATTCCCTTTTTCAGCCGATGAAAATGAACAAGTTCAACCGTCATCTGATAGATTATAAATATAATCTTTCTGTGTTTTTGCTTTAATCATAGTATTAGGGCCGATTGAAAGCTCTTATCACTTTGTGTTTTTTACATAGTAGCCTCTTTACATAGATATGAGCTCGGCAGTTCGGATATCTTGTCAGATATTGACCTATACCCAAACGTATTCTTCGAATATACAACTGAAGAAATTAGCCTGCCCATTTTGCAAGTCTTTATTGAATAGCTTTATCTGAGTTGTGGTCATTAAAGGCCGATATCTTCGCATTGCAGTCAATTAGGATGTCATAAAAAAACTATAACACATCTAAATCTTTTTTAGTATGTTTAACCCCCTGCTCGTTATATGGGCGGGTCTGCTTGCATCATAGTAAATATGCTACCTCCTGCTTGTATCAGGTTGAATATGTTACCTCCTGCATTTTTGACAGTCAACGTTCTGCTTGTCTCAAACTTTCAGAGATATTTTAGATTCAATAGTTAATGGTTTCTGGAAACCTGGCTGTGAACATTGGAGATGGTTAAGCATTTCCATGAATAATCTCAGTTGTTAGTAGGTTATGAATATCGGGTGATATGAAGTTTTGCGGGGGGTTGAGTCCTTTTAAAGGCAAACTTAAAGTTCGGTTTTGTTTTAAAGTTTTATTTTCAACTTGTCGCCAGAAAAAATTTCGAATAAATAAGGGCACAAATAAAATTAATCTTGTTTCCAATCAATTGGTATTGATCGCTAAACTGAAATGATTTTAAAGGTCAATTTAATTGAAATGATTTCTTGTGATTAAGATCTGAATTTTAGGCATTTTTCAATTCAAAGGTTGTAAGAAATAGATAAAAAATTGCTTCAAACATTTTTTTTTTGAGTCTCAAACACAGTGGCGTGCGCTGAAATATTTTTAAAGGGTGGCGGTTTTTCGAAAAAGGTTAGGTCGATCAATTTGATTTTCCAAGCTCTCCGAAAATACTGAAAAGAACCTATTTTGTCAAAAATTGTCTGCGCCGAAGTCAAGTTTTTCAAAAAAGATGTTTTAGACACTTTTTGCAAAAGGTTGACCAAAAAATTGCGTATTTTTCGGCGCGCTTCAGAAAAATTTTGAGGATGATCGGCCAAAAATGAAAAAAAAAGAATGTCGTAAAATTTTACCGAAGGGGGGAACCTTTGGAAAAAATTGGCTTCCAGAATTAAGGGGGGGGGGCAGGGCGATACTACTGATCAAACCTAACTTTTTTGATGCAGTTCTCCACTTTCGTTCCGGCTGAGGGAATAAAATTTTACGGAAAAGTAAAATAAAGAGCGATGACGTAAATCGTGGTTAATCGACAAAGAAAACAGGAAAATATAACCAGAAGGTGTTTTTGAACCCAAAAAATTGACCAATGGGCTTTTAATTTGGAATCAATAAAAAATAATAATTTTATGACTTTTTCTTATTCAGAAATCACTATTCATTTTTGGTCACCTGTTTGAAACATTCCTCCATTTGATTCTAAAATAAGTTTGCTCAAAATGAATTCAACTGATATCACTGAGATGGAGTTTTTTGTAAGTATTGAAATTGATTTAGCCGGTAGATCAAACAGATTATTACCATTTTTTGTGCCATAAGACAAGCTGATATGTAACTTTGGCCTTTGAGAGCTTTTATCATTGCGGACTTCAATTAGCAGTTTTTTTTACTACACTAACTAAATTTAATCAATGATTTTCAAAATTTCGAAAAGTTTTTGAAATTTAGAGAGACAGACTATAAAAAATCAAATATTAAATATGATATTCCAGTCAAGCCAGTTTTTAAACTGTGTGTTGCAATATGCAAACCCTCACAGCTTTGCAAGACAATATACTTGAGAAAGAAAACTGAAAAGCCCTTAATTTTGTAGACAATCGAAAGAAAATTATCAATGAACGACACTTTTGCCCAATAGTTTTTTTTTGAAACCAAAGATGTCTTAATTAATTTGAGGAATAAATTAGATGGTTTTTTTTCAGGAACAGTGGCTGCTTCCTCTGGACCAAATACAAGACGGTCGGCTGATTCGAATCCGGGTGGTAATGATGGTGTGGCTCGTCATTGCAATCGCGATCGGGGTGCCCGGAAACATCTTAGGTAGATTGATTGAAATATTTATTTTATAAATATAAGTAAACCAGTTTTATATTATCGGGCCTTATATTGCTTTGAAAAGAAAACAATAGTAACTGTTTGACACGCATATAAAAAGAAGGTCTTAAGCTTTCTGTCTAAAATTAGGTACTTTAAACTAGATACTTTTTAAATAAGATGCTTTAAATACTTTTTAAACTAAAAAAAATACTTTAGATACTTTTTAAATTAGATACTTTTCTGAGGATAAAATTTTTTTAGTTTTGTTACCAATCACTTTCTAGCATTCCTAAAAGTGTATTCATTTTTGAGACAAGTCAGTTATCACATGAAAAAGGACGTGGTTTCCAGTAGCGCACTGGGATGGGAAAGGCGACTCCCTGTCACCCATCAATTCTGGTTGCCAATTTTTTCTGGAAGGGTCAAGCTTTTGTACCAAAAAAAATAAAGCGCAAAATTTCAAAAGAAAATACATGAGCATCAAAGTCGTAGACAAAAACAGGAAACCTTGACTTTAATAGCACAAAAATAAATTGAGAAAAGAATATTTTCTGGACCATTTGCACCATTTTTTCAAGTACAAATTTGTTGAAAAAAAATTATGAATCTGGTTCTGGAATTTTTCCGCCTCTATTATTAGCGTTCGTTTTTCTTCGACTTTCTTCAAAATCAAAAACTGATACAAAAATTGAAAACAGTGTCAGTTTGATTTAAGAAATCTGAGAATCTGAGAATTTTTAAGTTTCCTACAAGAAAGAGAGGGTCAATCCTAAGCTGATTAAATGATGTTTTTCCCCCCATTTAGAAAAACTAGGAAGAAAGTACAGCATATGGTCTCATAATTAAATATTTAAGCTTTTATTATATTTGAAGAACCTGGCACCGCCCCAAATATAAACCCTTGAAGTGGATTCTTAATGTATTTACAAATTTTTTGTCTCAGTGTCGAGAAAAACGAAAAAATATTGCGTTTTCGACCCAAATTCATCATATTTTGACCTCAAAATTTCATTGTTTTGCGAGTTTAGCTTTATTTTAGCTATTGTAAATTAAAACCGGCAGTTAGAACCGGACACGAGAATATTCAATCGCGAGCTTGATTTCTTTTTTTTGTTTTGTTCACCTAGTCGTCAATGTTATAAAACTTACAAAAGCAGTGAAATTTAGACCATTGTAAAAATTTTCATTCTATTTGCACCATTTAATTTGCTCAAGGTAGGTGGAATGGTTACTGAAGGTACTTTTTAGCCCTAAAAAGAAAGACAACAAGACTGCTCGTATCAGGGCGAAGCCCTGAATGTTCCGACTGCCCATTAAGGTCTATGGAGCAGTTATGTCATTAAAAAATTAAAAATAATAAAACAAAATGAAATTTTTTTTTTCAAAAATTTGAAGTTTTTTAAATAAAAATCATCCCCCCACACGCCATATAAAGTACAAAAGGATAGATTTCGCTACTTGTAACAAATCAATTCTGGAAAATAAGCTTCGTTAAACCAATCTGGAACGATTTCTAGGACGAATTAACTCTCCGCTTACGCGTTAATAGCGCGAAATATATCGCGCGTTAATTGTCCCAAATTGGCCAAAATGGCAATCTTTAAACCCCCATAACTTTACGAAAAATGATCACAGGTGGAATATCTTTTCAAATTTGAGCTCAAGACAACAATACCTTTCGAATGATATAAAAAATTCCGTCAAAAATGGCTAGTTAAAAAGTCGAAATTTGTCTGAAAAAAAAAAACCCACCCCGAGCACAAATATTCCGTTACTTTTGTATCGAAAGTCGGAACAATAAAAAAGTCAAAATACAAAAATAACTTTCGCACAAAGTCTTGTGAGCATACAACTTGGCCAAATTGCTTGTATACAGGGCAAAGCCCTGAATGTTCCATTTGCCCCTTAATTTATATCAAATAGTTTTGAGAATAGAAAATATTGAAAAGCTATAAATTTGAGACAATATCAAAAATCAATTGTGATCATTGAATCGAACGAAATTAATACGACCAATTGGCTAGCCTCAATTCAATTTCGAACGATTATTTGTCAAGATAACGTTAAGCTTGTCAAGATTATTTGTTAAGCTTTCAGCGATATGATCGAAATGTTCAAAGTGCGCATAAGTTAATCCAGAGCATGGCCAAAAAATTTTTCGATTGCCGAAAATTGACTGAATAAAAAATTAACCCCAAGCATAAGTATTCCGTTTTTTTTTCGAAAGTCGGAACAACAAGGCTGCTTGTTTATCATGGTGAATCCCTGTTTAGACTGCAATTTAAGGCCAATGAAAAAGTTCCAGGTTGATTGATTTGTAAATTTATCCTAAAAAGAAATTGTTTTTCATTTTCTCTTCACTTTGCCACCCAGTTGGTATAAAAAAAGTTCTTCAAAAATGCTTCGCCAGAAAGTCAAAAATTGGCCAAAAATTTTCCTTATTTTTTTTCCAAAAGACGAAGCCTAGAGCATTAACACTCTTTTCTAAAAGCATGAAACCTAATCCAGCATCAAGAGTTACCGCCCAAAGTTTCCCTATTTGATACTATTTACATTTTATTAAGTAGAAGTTGTTTATATACAATATATTTAAAATGTTTTTCCAAATTTTTGTCTCAGTGTCGAAAAAAACGAAAAAATATTGCGTTTTCGACCCAAATTCATCATATTTTGACCTCAAAATTTCATCGTTTTGCGAGTTTAGCTTTATTTTAGCTATTGTAAATTATAACCGGCAGTTAGAACCGGACACGAGAATGTTCAATCGCGAACGTGATTTCTTTTTTTTTGTTTTGTTCACCTAGTCGTCGATGTTATAAAACTTATAAAAGCAGTGAAATTCAGACCATTGTAAAAATTTTCATTCTATTTGCACCATTTAATTTGCTCAAGGTAGGTGGAATGGTTACTGAAGGTACTTTTTAGCACTAAAAAGAAAGACAACAAGACTGCTCGTATCAGGGCGAAGCCCTGAATGTTCCGACTGCCCATTAAGGTCTATGGAGCAGTTATATCATTAAAAAATTAAAAATAATAAAACAAAATGAAATTTTTTTTTTCAAAAATTTGAAGTTTTTTAAATAAAAATCATCCCCCCACACGCCATATAAAGTACAAAACGATAGATTTCGCTACTTGTAACAAATCAATTCTGGAAAAATAAGCTTCGTTAAACCAATTTGGAACGATTTCTAGGACGAATTAACTCTCCGCTTACGCGTTAATAGCGCGAAATATATCGCGCGTTAATTGTCCCAAATTGGCCAAAATGGCAATCTTTAAACCCCCATAACTTTACAAAAAAACGATCACAGGTGGAATATCTTTTCGAATGATATAAAAAAATTCCGTCAAAAATGGCTAGTTAAAAAGTCGAAATTTGTCTGAAAAAAAAAACCCACCCAGAGCACAAATATTCCGTTACTTTTGTATCGAAAGTCGGAACAATAAAAAAGTCAAAATACAAAAATAACTTTCGCACAAAGTCTTGTGAGCATACAACTTGGCCAAATTGCTTGTATACAGGGCAAAGCCCTGAATGTTCCATTTGCCCCTTAATTTATATCAAATAGTTTTGAGAATAGAAAATATTGAAAAGCTATAAATTTGAGACAATATCAAAAATCAATTGTGATCATTGAATCGAACGAAATTAATACGACCAATTGGCTAGCCTCAATTCAATTTCGAACGATTATTTGTCAAGATAACGTTAAGCTTGTCAAGATTATTTGTTAAGCTTTCAGCGATATGATCGAAATGTTCAAAGTGCGCATAAGTTAATCCAGAGCATGGCCAAAAAATTTTTCGATTGCCGAAAATTGACTGAATAAAAAATTAACCCCAAGCATAAGTATTCCGTTTTTTTTCGAAAGTCGGAACAACAAGGCTGCTTGTTTATCATGGTGAATCCCTGTTTAGACTGCAATTTAAGGCCAATGAAAAAGTTCCAGGTTGATTGATTTGTAAATTTATCCTAAAAAGAAATTGTTTTTCATTTTCTCTTCACTTTGCCACCCAGTTGGTATAAAAAAAGTTCTTCAAAAATGCTTCGCCAGAAAGTCAAAAATTGGCCAAAAATTTTCCTTATTTTTTTTCCAAAAGACGAAGCCTAGAGCATAAACACTCTTTTCTAAAAGCATGAAACCTAATCCAGCATCAAGAGTTACCGCCCAAAGTTTCCCTATTTGATACTATTTACATTTTATTAAGTAGAAGTTGTTTATATACAATATATTTAAAATGTTTTTACAAATTTTTTGTCTCAGTGTCGAGAAAAACGAAAAAATATTGCGTTTTCGACCCAAATTCATCATATTTTGACCTCAAAATTTCATCGTTTTGCGAGTTTAGCTTTATTTTAGCTATTGTAAATTATAACCGGCAGTTAGAACCGGACACGAGAATATTCAATCGCGAACGTGATTTCTTTTTTTTTGTTTTGTTCACCTAGTCGTCGATGTTATAAAACTTATAAAAGCAGTGAAATTCAGACCATTGTAAAAATTTTCATTCTATTTGCACCATTTAATTTGCTCAAGGTAGGTGGAATGGTTACTGAAGGTACTTTTTAGCACTAAAAAGAAAGACAACAAGACTGCTCGTATCAGGGCGAAGCCCTGAATGTTCCGACTGCCCATTAAGGTCTATGGAGCAGTTATATCATTAAAAAATTAAAAATAATAAAACAAAATGAAATTTTTTTTTTCAAAAATTTGAAGTTTTTTAAATAAAAATCATCCCCCCACACGCCATATGAAGTACAAAAGGATAGATTTCGCTACTTGTAACAAATCAATTCTGGAAAAATAAGCTTCGTTAAACCAATTTGGAACGATTTCTAGGACGAATTAACTCTCCGCTTACGCGTTAATAGCGCGAAATATATCGCGCGTTAATTGTCCCAAATTGGCCAAAATGGCAATCTTTAAACCCCCATAACTTTACAAAAAAACGATCACAGGTGGAATATCTTTTCGAATGATATAAAAAAATTCCGTCAAAAATGGCTAGTTAAAAAGTCGAAATTTGTCTGAAAAAAAAAACCCACCCCGAGCACAAATATTCCGTTACTTTTGTATCGAAAGTCGGAACAATAAAAAAGTCAAAATACAAAAATAACTTTCGCACAAAGTCTTGTGAGCATACAACTTGGCCAAATTGCTTGTATACAGGGCAAAGCCCTGAATGTTCCATTTGCCCCTTAATTTATATCAAATAGTTTTGAGAATAGAAAATATTGAAAAGCTATAAATTTGAGACAATATCAAAAATCAATTGTGATAATTGAATCGAACGAAATTAATACGACCAATTGGCTAGCCTCAATTCAATTTCGAACGATTATTTGTCAAGATAACGTTAAGCTTGTCAAGATTATTTGTTAAGCTTTCAGCGATATGATCGAAATGTTCAAAGTGCGCATAAGTTAATCCAGAGCATGGCCAAAAAATTTTTCGATTGCCGAAAATTGACTGAATAAAAAATTAACCCCAAGCATAAGTATTCCGTTTTTTTTCGAAAGTCGGAACAACAAGGCTGCTTGTTTATCATGGTGAATCCCTGTTTAGACTGCAATTTAAGGCCAATGAAAAGTTCCAGGTTGATTGATTTGTAAATTTATCCTAAAAAGAAATTGTTTTTCATTTTCTCTTCACTTTGCCACCCAGTTGGTATAAAAAAAGTTCTTCAAAAATGCTTCGCCAGAAAGTCAAAAATTGGCCAAAAATTTTCCTTATTTTTTTTCCAAAAGACGAAGCCTAGAGCATAAACACTCTTTTCTAAAAGCATGAAACCTAATCCAGCATCAAGAGTTACCGCCCAAAGTTTCCCTATTTGATACTATTTACATTTTATTAAGTAGAAGTTGTTTATATACAATATATTTAAAAAACTGCTCGTACAGGCAACTTCACCAAAGGTCTTGCAAAAAGCTATACTTCTTATCGAGGTATGACTAAAACAGAATGAGCGAATTAAAAATTATTACTAGTTAGCTTCAAGAAAAAAAGATTGTGTTTTGTTAATAATGCTGCTTTAGTTAATGCTCAGTTAATTGTGTAAAATTATCTCGTACCATATTATTTAATTGCAAAAATTATAGCGCGTAGAACACACATTTTGCGTCACCTAAAAGCTATACTTTTGAGTTTTGCTCACAATCACCCCTCGTCATCCTACTTAAATTTGAGCTGGGAGCAAATGGGAAGCAAATTGGGAGCACGACTGAGTATAATGTACACTGTCCTTGAAAAGCTAGATGTTTTCACTGGCAATTCTAAGTGAGAGTCAAAACAATTGTAGCGTGTGTCTTCCTTTCTGCAATAAAGAGGAGTGTTATCGAAGTTTTATTGTTGACAATAAGTTTTTCAATAAAAAACAAAAGCTTACGACTCAAAAAATATCAAATATTGCGAAGAAGTTGATGGATTTGGAATTTCAATACCCTCATGGAGACAAAAAAAATATGACTGATTTTTCTATCATTTTTCAACTTTCAAACTTCTAATCAATTTTCTCGAAACTCAAATATTTTTATGATTAACAATTTCAAAAAAAATTAGTCCAAATTGAGAGGACAGAATCGATGTTTTTTGTTGTTACGCAGAAAAACCTACAAAAAGCGCCAATTGCTTTTTTGTTATTAGAGAGCGTAAGTTTCCGCCAATGTAGAAACAGAAATTGAATTGAGCTTGAGCTTAAAGAAATCAAACAAAAAAAATTGAATTTTAGCTTGAGCAACTTTTTAGACAATTTGCTAAATAAACCACACAACCTGATTAAGTAATATATCTCTTCGATCATTACCAAAGTTTTTGTTCCGACTTTCGATACGAAAGTAACGGAATATTTGTGCTCGGGTGGGTTTTTTTTTCTTCAGACAAATTTCGACTTTTTAACTAGCCATTTTTGACGGAAATTTTTTATATCATTCGAAAGGTATTTTACCTGTGATCTTTTTTTGTAAAGTTATGGGGGTTTAAAGATTGCCATTTTGGCCAATTTGGGACAATTAAAGCGCAATATATTTCGCTCTATTAACGCGTAAGCGGAGAGTTAATCCGTCTTAGAAATCGTTCCAAATTGGTTAAAAGAAGCTTATTCGCCATAATTGATTTGTTACAAGGAGCAAAATCTATCTTTTTATACTTTGTATGGCGTGTGGGGTGATGATTTTCATCTAAAAAAATTTCAAATTTTAGAAAAAAAATTTCATTTTATTTTTTCTTACATTTAGTTTTTTAATGTTATTACTGCTCCATAAACCTTAAAGGCAGTCGGAACATTCAGGAATTCGCCCTAATACGAGCAGTCTTGTCTATCTTCGTATTTTGTTCCATAATCATTTTACTTGCTAACATCGATCAAAGTTTTGTTAAAATTGCTCATTTTTGATTGCTTTGTCAATTTGTGTAGTTTTTATCTTTTTTTTCAAGTTGTGATTAGGACCAAATAAACAGTCTCTTCTAAACTCAATTTAGGGATAGGACTGTTCGCTTGGTTGAAAGTAATATTTTTAGCCAATCATGTTTAATCTTAGTACGTGCAGGAGTTACTGCTTGAAATTTTCTTCTAATTTTGTTCACTGAGTCTATTTAGGGGGGAGACTTTTTGGATGGGTTCCACCAGAAATCGCAAACTCAATTTAGTATGAATTCGCTTAAATTTACTGGTTGTTCTGACTTTCGATACGAAAGTAACGGAATATTTGTGCTCGGGGTGGGTTTTTTTTTCTTCAGACAAATTTCGACTTTTTAACTAGCCATTTTTGACGGATTTTTTAATATCATTCAAAAGGTATTGTTGTTCTGAGCCTCAATTTGAAACGATATTTCACCTGTGATCATTTTTTGTAAAGTTATGAGGGTTTAAAGATTACCATGTTGGCTAATTTGGGACAATTAACGCGCGATATATTTCGCGCAATTAACGCGTACGCGGAGATTTAATCCGTCTTAGAAATCGTTCCAAGTTGGTTGAAAGAAGCTTATTTGCCTTAATTGATTTGTTACAAGGAGCTAAATCTATTCTTTTGTAGTTTATATGGCGTGTGGGGGGATGATTTTCTTGGAAAAAATTTCAAGTTTTAGAAAAAAAAATTTTCATTTTTTTTACATTTAATTTGTTAATGATATTTATTTATTACTGCTTCATAAACCTTAAAAGGCAGTCGGAACATTCAGGGCTTCGCCCTGATACGAGCAGTCTTGTTAAAGTTTGAATTCACTTTTACCAGTATTTTTCTTTAAAAGAATCCCCCAGCTCCGGAAAAAACCTAGATTTGCCTGCTTTGGAGGCAGAGTATTAAAAAAATGGTTAAGTGAACTAAGTTTACAAATAGACTCGAGCAATTATGAACTTATTTCACGTGTTTTTCAGTGATCTCAGCCATCGCTCTGGTGAAACACCTTCGCCAAGTACCACACATGTTCCTCATCAACCTCGCAGTGTGTGACCTTGGGGTCATGATCATGGACGCATTTGTACTCAGTGGGGTATTCTATGGAAACACCTTCCTCCCCAAGTACCCAATGTTATGTGAAGTGAGTGGCGCTATGTGCATGTTGAGTTGCTTCGGAAGTCTGTGGACAATGATGTTTGTGGCAATCAACAGGTAAACGCAATCAACAACACTTTTTGAATCATTACATATTTTTTGTTGCTTATGACCCTTTGGGGCTAATGAGTAGTCAATAGGTACATTTATTATAGAGAATTGTATGTTTGAACTAATTGTTTGGAGTTAAACAGCTTTGTTCCGAATTTCCAGCAAGATAATTTGAACCTTCTAAAAACGTTAAAGAATTGAAATAATGTCTAGAAATCTAACAAAGCGATCTAAGAAATCGAGGCAAAGCTGCTAAATAATAAAATATTCCATGCCATTTGTTTGAATATCTTTGTTGATGGCTTACTTTGTTGAAAAACTTAATCATTAAAAAACTCGGGGGATGGTGATTTGCTCGGTAACAGTTAAAATTATTTGTTCGAAACTCTTTAAGAGGTGAAGGGAAAAACTATCGCGTATGGATTGTTTTTTCTTCCCAATTTTACTAGATCTAAGAAATCTCCGATCATGCGTGGTTTCATATGAAACATTTCATTATAAGACCAAATTTCACGAATTTTGTGACACTGGCAACTCATGTAATAACACTGAATTTTGCTCTTCTGCAAGTTTTTACGTTTTTTGTTGTAGTTTTTTTAGATGAATTAAAAGTATTTTTTTTAAAAAAAACAAGAAAACTAAGTGAAAATCAATTTGAAAAATCATTGCAATTGAAAAAATTTTCTGGGGAACCTGGAAAATTGACAAACATAACTGTAAGAATACTTCTCGTATATCTGGGCATTTCCGATTGTCCCTTAATTCATTTATCAGAGTATGAAGTTTTCGTGTCTGTAAAAAATAGTCCAATACAAAACAGTCTCAGTTAATAATTGTTTTAACAAACCGGTAGGCCTAGAATTGTCCTTTGTTCAACAGACATAAAGAACAAAATATTGACCGCCGCAGTCGCGCCAAGGTTTTGCGAGCTTGCCAACAGAGGATAGTACTTAATACAAAATTTAGAGCCGGTGACCTTAAACCGGACTGTTTTGTATTGGACTGTTTTTTTCCTTCATTATATGGTTTTTTGGATTATTTTATATTGGACTGTTTTGTATTGGACTGTTTTGCATATGCACCGAAATTTTGACTCCTACAAATTTAATACGACCGATTAGCTAGCCTCAACTTGGAACGATTTTGTTGTGAGGGATAATTCGACACGCATAAATCATTCGCGTTACGCTCTCAGAATTATGAATAAACTATTCACAACACGCATAATTTAGTCCAGAACATGGCCAATTTGACGATTTTCAAACATCAATAACTTAACAAAAAATAATCGAGGATAAAATATATTTTTTTGAATTTGAACTCAGGAAGTCGATATCTTCATTGGGATATAAAAAGGTTTTGTTGAAAACTATTATTTTGATCGGTGAAAATTTACTGAAAAAACCACACCGAGCATAAAAATTCCGTTTTCTTCGAAAGTCGGAACAGTAAAAAAGAAGATTCTCCTCAGCGATGGTGAAATGACTAAGTCATACCCTATCAATCGACTGGAAGGTTGGTAGTTCGATGATCAAGATAATAGGATTTTCTCGTTGCTTGTGGGTGAGGTTAATATTACCCAGTCCGAAAAATATATTCACGATTGTATGGATTTTTTTTTATCTCAGTCCTTCTGATACGCATGATATATTTTGAGTTAGATTGACTCAGCTGGAAATCGTTTTGGTTCTATTTTCACAAGAAATTAGGAAAACAATCATATCATCCAATAACTGAGCTCAACTATATGAAAAAAATATTCCACAGATTAAGCATAAAAATATCGCAGTGCAGTTTACAAAAATTCAAAACGAGTCTGAAGAAACAAACCCACCCCGAGCACAAATATTCCGTCATTTTTGTCGAAACGAACATTTTTCACGCTGGTTAGCTCAAAAAGTAAGCAAAACTTTGGTTGTGGGCGATTGCAAATATATATTTTTTAATCTTTGTCAATTTTTAATCAACATTTTCAAACAAAATTCACTTGATACACCTGAAATTACAGCCGGAACTTTCAGGCCTTTGCAATCCGTCTGATTAATTTTTCAATAAAAAATTGAAATAAGCTCGTTTTTTTGTCAAACGGTTTTTTGCCAACTCGTCAATTTGAAAGGTTCTGGTTGCTGGTCACCAAAAAGTTGCTTATAGACGTTTACAATTGATGTGAGCAAATGCAACTTCTAGACAAAACAATTGTCCGAATTAGACAATACAGATTCATGTATTTTACATAATTTGCCAATTTACGATAAGCTAACCTAAAAGATGTTTTAAAGAGTTAAAAAATAGCAATTCCCTACTGTTCTGTTTTTTTTAAATAACTTCATTTCAGTCTTTTTTGATCAAATGTAAATTTTATTTGCAACTCATCTGTTAGAATTCCTTGTAAGAACTCATATTGATAAAACTAATTGAAACACAGAGTGTAAAAAGAACAATCATCGAAGTTTAACTTTTCAATTTTATCATAATTGTATTATTTATAGATAAGTTTGCTAACAAATTCAAACAAATGTGCTGAATTTTTCTTTTTTTTTTCAAAAACCTTTCCCCAAAATCAGCAAAGAATACTAAATAAACTAGTATGTTTTCATTCCTTATGAAATTGTTTGATTCAGTTAGCTGTCAATTTATTTTGAAAGATTTTCTTTGTTGAATTGAATCAGCGCTTGTTTAATGAGCGTTGCAGATGAATGCTGTCAAAGTGCGTCTCAAAAATTCCGCGAAAAAAAAACACAAACTGTTCTTACAAAAAATGGTTTATAATATAGTATACAATACCTTTTTTTTGATATTTTTTCAATAAAAATTCATTCATTTTTCATGATTACAATGAGGCGTGGTTCCATTTACAAAAAATTTACAACATTTTAGACCACGAAAATCCATTATTGTTTCGACTTCCGATACGAAAGTAACGGAATATTTATGCTCGGGGTGGGTTTTTTTTTCTTCAGACAAATTCCGATTTTCCAACTAGCCATTTTTGACGTTATTTTTTCTGGTTGCTGGTCACCAAAAAGTTGCTTATAGACGTTTACAATTGATGTGAGCAAATGCAACTTCTAGACAAAACAATTGTCCGAGTTAGACAATACAGATTCATGAATTTTACCTAATTTGCCAAATTACGATAAGCTAACACAAAAGATGTTTTAAAGAGTTGAAAAATAGCAATTCCCTACTGTTCTGTCTTTTTTAAAGTAACTTCATTTCAGTTTCTTTTGATCAAATGTAACTTTTATTTGCAACTCATCTATTAGAGTCCATTGTAAGAATTCATATTGATAAAACTAGTTGAGACACAGAGTGTAAAAAGAACAATCATCGAAGTTTAACTTTTCAATTTAATCATAATTGTCTCATTTATAGATAAGTTTGCTAACAATTTAAACAAAAATGTGCTGAATTTTTCCTTTTTTTTCAAAAACTTTCCCCCAAAATCAGGAAAGAATACTAAATAAACTGGTATGAGTTCATTCTTTATGAAATTGTTTGATTCAGTTAGCTGTCAATTTATTTTGAAAGATTTTTTTTGTTGAATTGAATCAGCGCTTGTTTATTGAGCGTTGCAGATGAATGCTGTCAAAGTGCGTCTCAAAAAATCCGCGAAAAAAACACAAACTGTTCTTACAAAAAAATGGTTTAAAATATAGTATACAATACCTTTTTTTTGATATTTTTTCAATGGAAATTCATTCAATTTTCATGATTACAATGAGGCGTGGTTCTATTTACAAGAAATTTACAACATTTTAGACCACGAAAACCCATTATTGTTCCGACTTCCGATACGAAAGTAACGGAATATTTGTGCTCGGGGTGGGTTTTTTTTTCTTCAGACAAATTTCGATTTTCCAACTAGTCATTTTTGACGGAATTTTTTCTGGTTGCTGGTCACCAAAAAGTTGCTTATAGACATTTACAATTGATGTGAGCAAATGCAACTTCTAGACAAAACAATTGTCCGAATTAGACAATACAGATTCATGAATTTTACTTAATTTGCCAAATTACGATAGACAAATTTCGATTTTCTAACTAGCCATTTTTGACGGAATTTCTTATATCATTCAAAAAGTTTTGTTTTCTTGAGCTTAAATTTGAAAAGATTTTTACTCCTGTGATCACTTTTTATAAAGTTATGGGGGTTTAAAGATTACCAGTTTGGCCAATTTGGGACAATTAACGCGCGATATATTTCGCGCTATTAAAGCGTAAGTGGAGAATTAACTTTTTTAGCAACCGCTCCAAAAAGGTTGAAGGAAGTCTATTTGCCATAGTTGATTTGTTATTAGCAGCGAATTATATCACTTTGTACTTGGTATGGCGTCTTGGGGACAAAGTTCACAAAAAATCTCAAATTAAAAAAAAGTTTATTTTGATTTTTCTACAATCAGTTTTTTCATGTTATTACTGCTCCATAGACCTTAAAAGGCAGTCGGAAAATTCAAGGCTTTGCCCTGATACGAGCAGTTTTGTTCTAATTGAAATTGATATGACTTTTTTTATAAAATACTTATAGCAAGATATGGCTTAAGATGTTGTCAATTAAATAACATAAAAATTTTATGCGTTTTGAGTCGGAATTGTGTTTAAACGTTGACTGGTGCTAAACCAAATGTTTCAAACCCTTGAAAATTTATGAAATGTGTTTGAAAAATCGTTCAATTTGGCGTTGCGATTGAAAATCAAATTTTGGATTGAAGGTGTTCAAGTATGTTTAAACCAAAATTGTGAAGTTAACTGATGCAAACTAGACATTAAAACTGCTATTAAACCCACTTTATTAGAAACATCAAAATTTAGTTGATATTTGAAGAAAATTCCCATGAACATGATCAAAAATAGCATAATCAAAAATAGCATGATCAAAAATTACTTTCCCCATGAGCTTGATTAAAAACTAAACCATACTGTTCGTTTATGGG